TGATTTTCCGTTTGCTCGCGGCCGAATTATCGGCGATTAGGGTGATAACGCCTTCGGGCGAGCTGTCGAGATAAATTCGTAAACGGAGACGCTTTATGAAAATAACATGGACGTTAAGACGTCGGTGTGTGCGCCGTGCGAGGAATTGGGTGGAACCGCGCTGGATACACCGAGACGCCGAGGGATTTCGCATTTTTACTACCTCGGCCTCGCGTATCGATCTCGTTCCGCAACCTCGGCGGCAGAAGTTTGATCCCGCTCGACGGTGCGGCACCGCGCCGCGGCTCACACGAGGAGGCGAGAGGAGAGGAGAAGGGAAGGAGGAGAGAGAGAGAGAGAGAGAGAGAGAGAGGGAGGGAGGAAGAGAGAGCGAAACATTTTCCGGCGGAAGATGACGTCGAAAGATTTCGATTCGCGCGTGGGCGGCGGGGAATTCGACGGCGGACTCCCGGGGATATTGTGTCGGGCGAAATTAAACCGGATTTCACGGGGGATTAAATGGTATTTGACGGGCTGCGAGAATGCGCGCGCGGCGGTGGCGGCGCCGGGGTCCACCCTCTGTGTTTTGAATTTGGGCGTGAATGTGACAGTCGGTTTATACGATTTTCGGATTGATGGGCTCGTCGCGCGGAATGCCAGGAAATTACGAAAATAATTATTATCCGCGCGCGCGTGATGTACACGCGTGTACCGTGCCGCGCGCGCGCGCGCGACCGGTCATCGACGACGAAGGGCGGGAACGAGCGAACGGAGCACGTCGATCGCGGATATTAACCGAGCGTGGAATCATCGGCCCGTGCCGTGAACCAACAACGCGCCCGTCGTTTCGCGATCTAGCGAGACCCGAACGCGAAAACGCTCGTAATCGAGGCACGCTACGCGCGAGAACTCGGTGTTGCGTGTGTGCGTCTCGATAACGCTTTTGTTGAACGACACGCGCCACACCTGCGGCGTTCTGCGAGTACTTGGCAAGTATTTTCAATCGGCAACACGGTCGGAGCCGGCTGTTCGCACGCTGCACCACCTGGAGCCGCCGGGGCGATCTTCATTCGCGTGTGAACTCAAAAGGAGTGCCGAATTATAGAAATTCTCGTGGTTAGCTGGCGCGAATTTCGCGCGGACAGCGCGGATCGCCGAATCGGACAATTCGGCGATGTCGCGCTGCAAAGTCGCGAACTGCGATCTCGCCGTTGATCGCGGAAGACGTCTCTCGTCGCGGTTCGCGTTAACGCCGTGAGACGCCGATTTGTAGTCGCTCCATAGAGGCAGGTAGACGCACGCAACGCGCCAATAAAGGCACACACGGATGTCGAGGCACGCATATAACGGAGGAGAGAGCAACAATATCGGCGGCGCCGCCACCGCCGCCGCTGCCGCCGCCGCCGCCGCGCGCCGGTGTGCATCGCCGCGGGCAATGCATCAGCCTCGGCTGACCAATCCCGATAATTTACGATTATCGATCCGGCCGTGGTGCTCAAATTTGCTAATTACGCAATAATTATACGGGGCCGGCATTAGATCCTCGACTACCGCCGGACTACCTCCCGGCGAAACTATCGACCACAGCGGCGCCGTATCGCGCCGTTTCGGCCGGGCCAATAATAAGCCCCCGCTATGCGTGTCAATAGTTCATAGCCCCGTTGCGCCGCGTATGTATTGACCCGACCCGACGCCGTTCCAGCGAGACGATCGGTCGCATCCGGCGCGCCTATAGTTTCGCGACCGCGCCAGCCGAGAGTCCTGTGCGCGCGTGGAGAGTGCGCTTCTCGGCACGCTCTCGGTGCAGCGAAGCACAAGAGGGAGATAGATAGCTAGATAGGTAGATAGCTGGATAGATAGATATACAGACAGAGAGGGAGCGAATAGAAAGCCACGGGTGGGAGAGGAGCTATACCGACCGAATCTTGGCGTAAGGTACATTATGTACGCTCTCGGGAGTCTAGGCGGGTAATAACCTTGTTATGACGGTGCGGCTCTCCTCGGTCTGTACGATACGTTTCCGTGGAGGACGATATGTTCGTTCGAGACTCTTCTGCCGGCGCACCGTGCGTGTCTACACACAGCGGAATCTCAATCAAGAGATCTGCGCGATGATAACGTTTAACCCCTTGGGCGAAAAAATGTTTGTGGGCAAAAAATACTTCTGACAAAAGAGTTTATGAAATTATGAAGAGGTTACTTTCTGGGATTTTTTTGAGTCGCTAAATTTAAATCTGAAGTCAAAGTTTCGAAATTGGGAATAGCGGATCTAATATGATAGACCAAAGATTCAAAAAATCGTTCGATTGAAAGTTTGTATTGAGGGTTTCTCAAAGCCGCCGTCTTCGAATTCAAAATTTAAATATTTAATTGAAAAAATGGAGACGAAAAGTTTAAAATAATTAAAATTCTTCAAATTAATTTTTATGCAAATCGAATTTTTTGTTCATCATTGAATTTGCTATTTTAAGTTCATGAATATTTATTTTGAGTTGGAAATCAACGATTTCGAAAACCTTCAAATTCCAATTTTATGTAAATCGAACGATTTTTCAAGTTTTCAATCCGCCATATTGGATCCATCCTTTTGAATTTTGCAACTTCGACCTTAGATTTTAATTCAACGACACCAAAAACGTGAAGGGAGAGTATATGCCAGTTACTCCGGTATGAGTATTTTTTTTTGAATATGCGGATATTTACGTCATAAGCGCTTTTGGCTTTATTTTATTTTTACGGGTATTCCCCATTCATTGACAGTCAAGGGGTTAATCAATGTCCAATTAATTTCTCTTGATTTATTTGTCGAAACCTCGTGCAATTCCGCAAACGTTAGGTCGGATAACAGCTGCACTATCGTAAGCTTTATTTAATACACAGTACATCTGCATGACATCTTGTTATCGATAAGAGTTTGCCGATACTCGTATCGCAGATACGTATCAAGTTACTGTTTGTTATCAGAGTGAGAATTTGCCAAAAGTTTACTCATATCGCGCCAACGACACCAGAGTCAAGTTATCGCTTCGATTTCTTCGCGTAACTCCGCTTGGAAGATGACCTCGTGGATAGCCGTACTTGCGCAGCACACCCCGCAAAGTGTACGTTCCCTCTCGTCCGTCTGTCCGTTCGTTCGTTCATCCAGTGCCGCCGTTCCTCGCACCATCCGGTGCGTCGCGTCGCGTCCCGGCGTCTCGACGCGCAGAGAGGAGACGGGAACGGCGAGAGCGAAGCGAAAGACGAAGAGGCGGTCTGCGAAGAGGTGAACTAACAGGATCGCAACAAGTGACCGCCTCGCCCTCCTTCTATTATTTCCTCTCCTCCCTCTCGCGTTCTAGCGGATACCCTCTGTCGTTCCCTCCGCCGTAGTCTTCGGCTCTATCCGCGACTCCCTCTCCCTTTCTCTCTATCCTTCTTTCTCTTTCCCGTTGTCTCTCTCTCTCTCTCTCTCTCTCTCTCTCTCTCTTTCTCTTTCTCTGTCTCTTATCTGATTCTTGCGCGTATATTTCCATCTCGCTCCGATCGCGGTAAGTCGGACGGCTTGTTTGTCCGACGAGCAGCTAAAAGGTCGGTTCGGCCGTCAACAGTTACTGATGCATCCCGAGTAGCTGGTGGAATTATACGCTTTCGACATTTCTCGAGAGATACGCACTGGGCCGTTACATTGGGATCCCGTTTGACCCTCGGGAGAGTCTATTGTGTTCTTATGCAGTCATTTAAAATAAACTGCTAGATATATACAAATAGGTTCTTTTGGGCTTTAGTTGTGATTCATTTATCGAATATTTTGTATGACTTTTATATTTTCCTGTACGTGGACTGCTTGAAGTAGCCATTTCACACGAGCTAGTTTTTTTAGGAAATTTTCTAAGAACTTTTTTAGGAATTTTAACAGTGTATCAATCGAAACACGATATATACGTGCAGTTAGAAAAAATTGACCATACCGAAGCTTAGATAATTGAAGTAAAAATTAACGCTATTTACACGTATTATAGATGAGTGGCTTCCGATATCAAGTTTTCAATTCTAACACTCAAATTACTTTTACAGTTTTAACGAAAAACAAGACGATAAAAAGAGAAGAAAATATGAAAAATTTACTTAATAAAAATTAGATTTACTTAATTAAGTTAAAAATTAAAATTATCTAATTAAGAGTTAACTAATAAGATTGTTGACCATTTAATTTTCAAATTAGTACGTAAAGTATATAATATTTATGATAACGGTTAAAATATATGAAAAGCCAACCTGTAATGATTTTTTAATACTTTATACACTATATTTCTTTTGATGCTTGGTTAAGTATATTCTTAAAAATAGAGTGGAAGGATATTTAAATAATCTAAAAAATTTATATGTAAAAAATGTGGAAAAACCTGATGTTACGATTATTTTTCTATTACCGTGCATTAGTGTATGTCTATCGGTACTTATGACATGTTTACAAACATATATTTTACACGACAGTCTTAGCCAAAAGTATCAATACGTCAAAACGTAAAAGACGGTTATTTCTTTAAGAATTTATTTATAAACATTTGTTTGTTATTTAACTTTAATGAAACATTATGTAAATTTCATATATATTCTCTTGTTTTAAAGCCAAAGCTGCGCGCACATATCGTAAATCATACTTATAAACATACTTATAAACAAATTTGTAGAGCTTCGTGTTGTATTAACCGTTATTTGACGTAACTTCCTAGCAATATTGTCGCGAAATAGCTACCTTGCAAGAAAATAATTGATACGCAGAACGCATAATTTGCTCGAGACGAAGCAACAACGTCCCGATAGTTGTTGTAGATTTCGCGAATATTGGGTAATTTTCACGGCAGGAGCGTATACGTGTGCGTGCGCATACACGACTCACAGTCGGGCCCGCAAACGACGACGACGACGACGACGACGATGACGACGGCGGCGGCGGCGGCGAGCCGTTGCGTAACGGTGTCACGTAATAACAACGAATCGACCTTCTCTCGCACAGCCGGTAACCACCCGCCTTCTCTTACCTTCCACCTCGAGGAGAACTCCCGGTGAGCAATTACATTGTAGAAAGCACGAGCGGGCCTCCGGGAGACAAGGGGCGTTATTCAGCGGTAAGTGCGACCGTCTGGTTCTAAGTTTTATGTGTCTCAAACGAAGGTCACACGCGGCGCTACTGCGTCTTGAGAGTCAGACGGTCGTATTTAGCACTGAACGCGTGCTCCGCCGGACTACGACGAGCTGGCGATTTTCCGTCCAACGACGATTTCGGCCACTGTCACCGTCGCCAGCGAACAACGCTGAGAAAAAGCTGCCTGATAATTCGTAACTATTATCGCGGAGAAACAATTACACAGAGAAAAATAGCATTTCGCTACCAAGAAAGACCATCATTCAATTTACTTTCTTCCTTTTGAGGAATGGTGGCCTTCAATGAAAGATATTTTCTTGATAATAGTCTTCAAATAAACTTACCACAGAAAAGTTCTTCTTTTGAGTTCCTTTTACCTTGTACTCAAAAGAAAAATTTATTCTCTTTATTATATAAGAATATTGTAAAATTTTATCGAAGAAAAAGTTGATTCGACTTTATGCAGCAAGCGAATCGAATTTTCATTTCAGTTTAGGATTCTGGAATGAAATACTGAACTTACTAGAGGAATTAGAATAATTATATTCTAATTAAATTGAATAACAATATGATTATATTCTAATTAAATTGAATAATAATATGATTATATTCTAATTAAATTGAATAATTATATTCTAATTAAATTGAATTTGATTATTTTAAATAAATTTAGTTAAATTTGATAAATAAATTTGATTATTTTAAATAAATTTACAATGAACTCATGACAGACTTACTTATGTACTTATGAAATACGGATATAAACTTATGAAATACTTGAAACAAGCAACATTTGCTTGAGTGCAATACGTATTTTTCTCCGTGTGTACTCTCTCTGCGCATAAATTATGGTCAAGGAGAGAAACCATTTTCTTATTAAATTCCGCTACAATGTTTATGAGAAGAACTTCACATGCATGTTACTGCTACTATTTTCGTATTAGAGCAATTAAAAATATAATTGAGGCCGCAAATAACTCTATCATTTTAGTTAGATCAAGTATTTTTTTTTTCAATGTGCACTTCGGCACGTTGCGCCCGGGATCGTCCAATCGAGATACGTCTTATCGATCAAGGCCATCGAACGACGCGGCCGTCTAATAATATTCGTCGAAAGGAATTAGAGCAAGCCTCAGCCTGCTACGTCCGGATCGGCTTTTCGGGGACTTTTCGAATTTTCCAGGAGAAATCCGTTTCCTAATGTCCGTATTTCAAGGGGTTCGCGATAATTGTATATCCTACAAATAGAACGTCGACATCGATGATCCTCGTTAAGGACGGTATCGAGCAGTCTCTATATGGAAACTGTGCGATATTAATAACGGATGCGCCACAGTGGATATTAATAACAAATGTATCATAGCGGGATATTAATAACAGGCGCGTCGTACAAAGCGGATTAAAACGCAACAAGGACGTTTGCGTAACGGCGTAGGCTGTTTCAATGTTACGACTGCGCGGCGAAATAGCCATCGCTATGCAAATTTTTCAACTGCGCGTTTACGAACTATGTTGCACGACATAACGCAGTCTCTTTAACACTAGCTAATCGTTCTAAGAGAGAGTCGTGTCTTATCGTGAAAATTGCGAAAGATCTGTACATCGTAAAAAACCTTGCATACAAATGTTAACATTTTCATGTGTTACCAATTTTTGACTATTATTTCAATGTAAAATCAACGTGCATGCACAACTGATATGTTATTAGTTTCGTGTGTTACGTTTTAATGTGTTACATTAATGTCAACAATTTAACTTAATTTTTGCATGTCATTTAAAAATGAAATATTATTTTAAGTTATTTTAACATAATTATTTCAAAAAGTCAATATTTTTAAAAATCACTTTGATATTAACAAAAGTTTAAGTTTAATATTTTTAGTATAATAATAATTTTTTAGGGTAAGAACGTTTTTTTGGTGTCACATTTAACATTCTAAATATGTCAATTTTACATAAAATGTGCATAGTGTTTGTGCTGCATAAAAAGTGTTTGTGTTAATTTTTTGAAATAATATTTATTTTTGTACATACCTACTTTGTATTAAATTTACATCAAGATTTGAGTAAACTGTCTGAGACATGTGCAATATGTTAAATTCAACATAATTTTTTCCATATGCAACCTAAAAGTAACGACTGTTCTCGATACCTGAAAGTTTAAAAAGTCGGATGAACGATATCGAAGTATTACAATCGTGAACTTTATTTCAGATTTCCTAATATCTGAGGGAAAAGGAAAAAGCATTCTTTCTCTCTCTCTTTCTCTCCAAAGTACAATCAGTGTGTTCTTCACTGAGACGATATAACTGACAGTACAATTACAGTTATAGCATTGCCATCGATAGAATCTCGCTGAAAGGATCGGTTAATAGTAGCGACTATTTCCATTATTGATGCACTCAAATATGTTTACTGATTTACTTTAAGTATGTAATAGTGCCACATACTTGAGAACTTTATTGACGAAATATTAACTTTTTTCTGCAAAGTGTACGTGATGTTGATTGTGCACAGAATTACAAATTCACAGTGTGAATTAAAAACAGTGTGCTTTTGTACACTAAAAATGAGTGTAACAATAAATTGGAGCATTGATCAATACGTGACGAAAACGACAAAAGATGTTAAAATGACATCTCGAGTTGTCACAGTTGGCGTAAATACTTGATGCAAAAGTTTTGCAGCTTATACGTATACCGCATATGTGTTCGCTCTACTAACGAAAATCTCAAGGAACATTTCTAAATTTAGAAGTTCCAAAATGTACGAAAAATGTGTAGACAAATTTTTATATATATAGAAAAAGAAGTTTTCATTGGAAAAAAAGATTTGATAATATTCAATCTGAATATAATAGTTACTAAATGCTTTGGTGAAATTTAAGTGTTGAAACTTGAGTTTCAATTTAAGTGAATATAACTAAATAATTCGGTAAATATTAGAAAATAGCCTTAGCAAGAGGCTTAGTATCTATTATCAAGGCTTAGTAACTATTACCACTTGATGTGATACGTATTATCAAACAATTTATTAAATAAAACTATATTGTTTAGTAATACTTTCCACTAGGTTAGACTAATGCAATATCAATATAGAATAGATCTTTTACCAAATTATTTAATATTAATTACCAAATTATTTGATTAGATCACCTAATTAAAGATTTTATTTTACTAATTGTATAATTACCAAATAATTAGTAACTATTACCATATTTAGTATTCATTCACCAAATATTGCATTGAAACGTTTAATCAAATGCATTTGTTAACTATTATCAGATATTTCTTTCAGTGTTGTAATAGTTAGCAAATATATTTGATTGAGATATTACAGTGCGATATTTAATAATTAGTATTAAATATAGTAATTAGTTTCCAACCATCTGATAATAATTACAAAATGATTAATGAAACAAATTTGTCATTTAGTTGAACCAATTAAATAGTTTGGTTAATAATATTAAATAATTTAAATAATAATTATTAAATAGTGCAACTATTACCAAAGAGTATTTGGTCACATTTAATATATTTATTACATAAAAACATGGTTTTTTTAATAAATCATTTGATGATACCTACCACATAAGCTGGTAATAGTCACCAAGTCTTAGCAATAGATACCACAAGCCTTGCTAAACTTATTCGTTAATATATATCAAATTAATTGATTATATTTATTTATATGTTTAGTTGAAACTATTTTACCAAAGGATCTGATAACTATTACTCAGGCTTGATGGTTATTATCAAATTTTTTTTCGTATGCATGTATGGTTATATTCTTTGCTAACGTGGTAAAATGAGAAATAGTAGACATTTATATAATAAAATATATATCTATACATACACAAGAAATACGAAAAGAATAGTATAATTGTATGACAATTATTTCTACGTTATCGACATTTTTCGAGTTCATTATCCACTTTAGCATCCCCTTAAGGGATGGTAGTTGAGTACCTAACTGTCAAAGCAATTCCCTCGATACACTCTATCAGCCCTCCCTGTTGATTTCCACAATCTCATATTATTCATCACTCTTATCAATCGCGTGAACATGTGAAATAGCGCAAGAACGTATCAATGTGTCGAAAATCCTTTGTGCTCTTATCTTTGTACTCTTATGTCGGAGCAGAAATATCCCTAGGCGAATACATTGTCCTACGTTGAACGCGGAAAGATTATTCGTCCGTTATTGGTATTTCCCGTTTCTTTCCGCGAGCAAATCTCGCGACATATTCGCGACGAAAGTCGCCGCCGGTTTTTGCGCGACACAGATACCCGTAATATCGAATCGAACGACGGGGATGTATCAATTCTTCACGATACGCGATTTCCCTTCTGCCATATACCGCGTCCTCGTGTCTGCGCGGCTTATCGGGATTCCATCTCTCGTCACCGCGTCTGGATGTGATACGATTCTCTAGGAGACGCGCGGTCGTTCGACGGTGCCGAGCGGAGCCGGCGATCGAAGTCGTCGTCGTCGTCGTCGTCGCCGTGGCGTGCCGGCTTTTGTCTAGGACAGTACCGCGTTCTCCCTTACCGGCAGCGGCCGTAACGACGCGCGCGATAAGTACGGCGGCACTCGGGCGAGACAGGTCGACCGGTCGGCCGGCCCGGTAGAGGCTGTCTCCAGGTAAATCGACGCGGACTGTACGCGGAGAAAGGATACGCGGAAAGATAGCGGTAGGTTCTCTCCGCACGGTACACGCTCTCGGCGCATTGCCTGCGTTCTCTGTATGCCCCTACCTATTCACGAGGCTCCTTGTCTCCCTCCTGCGCTCGTCCCGTATGCGTCCTTCTTCCACACGCGCGGGCGAAGCTACGAGTTTGTGGACGACGAAAACCGACGTTGCTCACCGCGGGTGAGAGACGTCCGAAAGAGAAACGATACGACAGGTAGCGAACGAGAGGCTCCAACGGGAAAGACGAGGAGGCAGCCAAGAGCGACGGTGGGGCTCGCGTTGGCGTAGAGGGGTGGCGAGCATGTTGGAGGGGCGCTCGGAGGGGGTTGCGTCCGCTCCCTCCCTCCGTCGGGCTTGGCAAGGATAGCGCACCGACGACGAAGCCGAGGGGAAACCGGGAACGTGTAAATGCGTGCGTAACACCGTCGGAACGTATGTATTTTGCGTGCGTGTCGCAGCTACACGCACACGCACGCGAGGTCGGGTGTACGAGCGAGCGAGCGAACGAGCGAGCGAGTCAGCTTCCTGTATCACGAGTCGCAGCGTTCCGTGCATATTGATATTTTCGGTGTGGCGCGCGCGCTCGAGCACGAATATACGATTATTGCGCCTAAGCGTCCCGATTCGCGCGACCCGCCGTTTTCTCGGGCCATTCCCCAGCGTTTCGTCTACCCTCCATACGTCTCAACGTGGAGGTTATCGTCGCGAAATAGCGCCGCGTTTCATGCCCCGTGCAAGATTTCATCTGACGTGTTGTGTAGCTAGGGTTGCCACATTTTGTAAGTCGGTAAGGAAGGACGCCCGAGAATTTTGACAAAAAAGGTCGCCGGGTAGAGTGCGTCTGCTACTTTACGTGCGATCTACTACGAACTTCAATTTTCAACTGCATATATTATGCATTTCATATGTGTATGTTAGATGAGTTTAGCTGCAGTGCTGGTCGCATGAAAATCTAG